TATTTTCAGTCTGTTTTGAATTGAAATCTCACTCACTGAATTTCGTTTTTTGAAAATGATTTACTACTTTAGATTTAATTCAAACAGCAGTGCAAAAGGTTAGGTAGTCCAACCACAACCACAATCAGATACTCATGACTACTGATTGCATATTTACTGAATTTGTTTCATTGTGCAATAGACAAATTCGAGTTTGTTACTTTAGAAACTTGTGCATTCTGGTATAAATAACATTCCAATTTAGTCTGCATAAGGGTGTTGAGTCATCATTTATATATTCATAACTCATCAAAAAGCAGACAAAAAAAATCACCCCCCCCCCCCATTCTTGCACAGAAATAACTCAAAGCCCATCTATTAACCTCATTACACCTTTTTTAATGGATCAAATACAGTACATGTGACCTTAATGGAATTGTTGAAGTGACAATGATGAAATGTTATTCACTGTTTTCTCTCATGGTGATTCAGGATGCGATGGCATACAACAAGTTTAATGTCTTCCACTGGCACATTGTGGATGACCAGTCATTTCCATACCAGAGTGCAGCTTTCCCAAACTTGAATGTCAAGGTATGTTTAAAGAAATAATGTCAACTTTAATATTTGCAAACACAAATTAACTGTAAATTACCTTATTTTTTACCATTTTGGCTGAAGGTGTGGGTCAGTGGAGATAAACTCCATACAAAGCAGTCAAAATCTTTTAAAGCAAAAATTAATTCCAGCTAAAATTATTGTCATTATTAATTAATGTGTATTTAATGTGCCCCTCTGCTGTCTTTAATGAACAAATTGCCATATGGCGTTTGCCTGTCATTTGTGTGAAATAGAACATCGTGCATCGTGGCTTCAACAAAATTAGCATGCAAGATGCACAATGCACAATAGTTGTATTTGGTGTTATTTCAGCAATAGTTCCACACTCCACCATTTCACTATATTGTATTGTGGAAATATGCATGATTTAAATATATATAATTATTTTCACTTAGTTAACATTAGCATACTCCTGTGATTACTGTCAAAGTCTATGGCTCAGATTGATACAAAACTCTGACTGTGATCACTTGTGTCAGCTGACGTCAATGTCAATGAGAAAATATTGTGAGATTATATATAATAAATTCACTACGTTCAATTACCCACCATGGACTCCGATCAGTCAAAATGACTATTTTGAACTGTAGGCATTAATCAGCGATTCTGCCAATGATGGGGAGAGAGAATCTAGGTCAGGGGAAGCCCCATGACCCCAAGATTCTTTTCTCTTGCGTCACAAACCACGTGACCGAGGCCATATGGCTCTGCCTAAATTTATACCACTATCAGATTTCTTTAGACTCTGAAGAAACTCTGCTACTAAATAATCTGCAATGGATGTTTGCATTGCATTGCACAGCTCTGTTGCCTGGCTATCTTATGAATTGTTTACAAGCGTCCATTCTTTTCAGTTGTTGTCGCCTTTGATGTGTTCCACCCAATCAGCCATGGACTGATGTGTGTAAAAAATTTTAAATCATGCAATAAAAAAAATATCTGTTTACAGTTTAGATGACTGTAAATTGACTACATTATCATATTATGCATGGCTGGAAATGTACCTTATGTGATACTTTTTGATGCAAATTATTATTTTTGAGAATTTCATTGATTTAAGGTCAGAGTGACCAGAGGTGTTCAAGATCCTAAACTGTAAATAAAAATTTAAACTAATTTCAGGACCACATTGGGAGATTACACTGTATGAAAAAAAATAAAGTTGTCTTGTTAGAACTTGAAGTTATGTGTAAATTAAAGTTGCACTATTATGAGAAATTGAAGTTGTGTTATGAAAAATGTTTTGTTTTGAAAATTAATTGGTGTTATAATAAGTGGTGCACTAAGTGAGACAGCTGTGTATCACCATAGTTGTTACTAATAATTGTATCTATACTTCCACTGTATTGGTGTGCTAGTACTGACACACCCATAATTGTTCCTAGGGGGCGTTTCCACCATATTATCATCACTCATACACTCAAGAAGATGTTGCCATAGTGATAGAGTATGCCCGGCAGCGTGGAATACGTGTGGTTGCTGAGTTTGATTCACCAGGTCACTCTCAGTCATGGGGTTTATCGCAGAAGGATCTACTAACGCCATGCTACAGCAGTGGAAAACCCGACGGATCTTTCGGTCCAATCAATCCTATTCTTAACTCAACATATGATTTTCTGAAGAAATTCTTTGGTGAAGTTGTGACAGTCTTCCCTGATCATTATGTGCATCTAGGAGGAGATGAAGTCAGCTTTACATGCTGGTAAGTATTTTTGATATCACATATGATGTATTATCTGCAGTGTGTTGTATGATTTCAAAGATTTTGTAATCTCTGTAGTATTATAATTAATGATGATATATAATCTACAGTTGAATGAATATGATCATAGTGTATAATACATGTACTTTGTAGTGTAATGCACATTGAAGATGATGCAATCTTTGTAGTTTAATGAATATCAAAACTGATGTAAACTTTGTAGTGTAATGCACATTGAAGATGATGTAATCTTTGCAGTGTAATGCACATTGAATATGATGCAATCTTTGTAGTTTAATGAATATCAAAACTGATGTAAACTTTGTAGTGTAATGCACATTGAAGATGATGTAATCTTTGCAGTGTAATGCACATTAACGATGATGTAATCTTTGTAGTGTAATGTACATTGAAGATGATGTAATCGTTGTAGTGTAATGCACATTGAAGATGATGTTAACTTTGTATTGTAATGCTTATTGATGATGATGTAATCTTTTTAGTGTAATGTACATTGAAGATGATGTAATCTTTGTAGTGTGATGCACATTGAAGATGATGTAAACTTTGTAGTGTAATGCATATCAAAAATGATGTAAAATTTGTAGTGTATGGCACATAAAAGATGTAATCTTTGTTGTGTAATGCATTATTAAAGATTTAAAGATGAAGTAGTCAAGGATCTAATCCTTGTAATAATATGAAGTTATTACGAGAATACCGCAGCGAAAGGTTGATGTGTGGCGTACTGTCTGAGTGACCTTATTGTTACATACATCTTTTCCTTCCAAGGATACATCATGGGAAAATGCCGAAATCCAAAAAGTTTAGAACATAATCAGCGGGCTTCTTTGTGTGGAGTCCAGTTAAACCCTGGTGGCAGCCATGTTTGTTTTTATTATTAGAGGTGTAATCATTCCATATTTGAAATTTGCATTTCCTTATATGGTAGGATGAAAATACCCTGTAAAGTACCACAAAATTACGGCACGCTGTAACTTATGGCGTTACGGTGACAGATGTATAATAATAAGTGGTATTATGATTTAATCTGCAAAATTAATTAACAGCAAAATCTAGAAAATCATGAAAATGTACAATACTTTTTAGTATTTTGATTTTAGGAAATCCAATCCAGACATAACTGCATTCATGAAGAAGATGGGGTATGGTGATGATTACTCCAAACTTGAAAGCTATTATATACAACGATTACTTGATATCATGAAATCATTGAAAGCTGGCTACTTAGTGTGGCAGGAAGTATTCGACAATGGCGTTAAGGTCAGTGAAATAATTCAAAATAAAGTAATTGATGTAATTATGGTTGGTTGATTTTCATGTAAAACATATGGAATCATACATAATTGAAATCATTTTTAAGTTAATGAATCAAATCACACATTACATCTACCAGTTTAGTTGATGCTAATTCAACTGCACTCCATGTTATGTTACAGGGCATATTTGGAATCTATCAATCCAATGACTGAATAACAATACCCCGACAATATGTCAAGATGTGTTCATTTCTAGTAATCTTCCTCTTCATGTTTTAAAAATTCCATATTAATAATTTACATTGGTTACTTACAACTGTAGCTGTAAGATCTGTTATAGCTAATACACATTGGTGTAATATAAGGTGTGCTTTTTTTTAATTATGTTGTAGTAATATATTTTCAGAGAATCCATTGTTTTGTCTAGGTAAGCCAATGTTTAAGCAATATTTGTACACCTGTATTATCACATATTTGTAGCTGCCATTCTGATTGGGTAAATAATGGATGTAGAATGCATATAAATACATGCGTGTTATACCTCAGTTATGAGAATACTGAACAATTGTCACTTAAAACGGGAATGACAAATAACAGTTGTTGATGATTGTATGAACTAGTTAAAACACTAGATTGTTGCTGATTTTTTTTTGGAGAACACATTTATTAACATATTGCCTGCTGAAAGCCTCTCTGGACATACCAAATCAATGGGGAAACGATCACTAGTAGCTGATGGCTTAATGCATTAGCAATAATTAAGACCATTACTACACAGGTATATGCTTAGAATAGTTATATATGCCATTTTTATTATAGTATCCTTACGAAGTTATTACTTGTTTAAACACACCAAAGCAATGCATTTGATTGCAACTGAACCTGTGTATAATTTAATCTGATCGTATGAATTTAGAAAAAAACACATTTGTTAAGAAAAATGAATTATCTTGTTATTTTTCAGGTAAGTAAAGATACTGTATTCCATGTGTGGAAAGAACCCACCAACTATAAACATGAAATGGCCAGCATCACTAAAGATGGACACCAAGTAGTTCTGTCATCGCCATGGTATTTGAATCATGTGATTGATCCATATAAACGTTATTGGGTGTATTACTATATGAATGATCCTCAAAGTTTTGATGGTATTTATTTAATCTTTAGCAACACTTCAATCACTTAAATATAGTTGGGCAGCAAATTACCTTTCCAACAGTTAACTGCTTTTAGCATTATTCTCAAATTTGCATCAAAGCATGCCATCATCTTGTTCACTGGCCTTTGTACTAACACAGATTAGTAGTAGTTAAAGAGAGAGGGTCGTCACCTGCGCACACGCACGCTAAAAATGCAAATGCTCATTGGTAAACACTCGTTTGTAAACAATGACACACTATGGCCATCTGACGTATGCGCAAGTGATGACTCCCCCTGCTTTAAACTAGCTTAATATTACAATCACTCTATCTGTGTTTTGCAGACACATTAATAAATAATGGTTGAGGGTTTTAACTACACACTATATTGTGCCTGGTACGTGCATGCTTATGTTTGTGAACTTGTAGGTAGCAACAGACACAGTAATTCATACTTGGAAGGGCGGATATACGGATGAACTTGGTAAAATCACAAAAGCAGGCTACAAAACTGTTTTATCATCGCCGTGGTATCTTAACTATATTAGCGATCCATATGATGAACCATGGAAAAACTATTATAAAATTGACCCACAGAATTTCAGTGGTATGTAAAAAAACATGCTAATTAGTTCAATACATTTATCCCATGTATCATGCCTGTTATTTATGTTATGGATAATAACCCAAATGGACATGTTTCATGGTGACTTGTTAGAGCAGTGCACACAATTCAAAATTGTGACATAATCTCCAAAGATTTCAACACATGTCTCATTTGATGATGTGGTATAGAATAATTTTAAATAACCATTTGAACATGCGAAACACGAGATAAATAAGATATCCAATTCTTGATTCTGTGATACTGGTTTCATTAAATTCGTGTAGTAATTTGTTTTATGATTTTGAGAATCATTTTGTTTATGAAAGGTTTGTTTTCATTTCATCTGTCTATTCTTATTGATCACCTAAAGTATCATATTAAAATTGACATGCTGTGTAGTATATTTATATACTACCAGTGCACATGTTGAGATCTGATTATAGTTGTGTATTTGGTAAAGTTCATCCACAATCTTGCCAATGAAACTTTCAAAGCAAATAGTATACATTTGCTTGTGACTTGATTCTTTCATTTAGACATTAAAACATTACTATCATATCATCAATAAAGTAGCCAACACCATCATACCAATTCCATTATCTGCTATAGAATTACCTTGCGAAAATAAACTATTAAATAATGGTCAAGTATGGGGTAAATACAATATAATAAATGGTAAAGTTAATATTGATGTATCTAGAGACATAAAGCCAAGAAGTGATGTTCTATGTTGTATACACTATTGAGTTACTACGTGCATATGTATGTAGATTTCAGTCTGGGTGGTGGTATAATGCGTTCACAAATCAACCTTCGAAAGAAATTCATCCAAATTTTAATACTGCTTTACTGAATATATTATTGAACATATGCAATGCAGTATTGGAGAAAACGTCCAATTGTATATGATTATGTATATTATACGAGTAACTCACTAAATTTCATGTAATTTTTTGAAATAGTATTAGAATTCATTCATTCATATCAATACTAATTTTGAATATTTTCCATCTCTTTCCACCATCAAATTGTTAGACATGAAAACTAATTTCACCATGGAAGATCATTTTCTAGGCAAAGTTCAAACGCTTGATTTTATTTTCAGTATAATTAATGGAATTTCGCATAATAAGGAAAGCATATGCTGTTAAATTCAGACTTAATCCTTTTATGATAAGCTTGGGTTAAGCTTGTTACTATGCCCATTATGGTAATTAGCGACTCAATGGATAATCACAGAATTTCACGAGTCAATGATTTGATCGCCTGAAGCATTTTTAACAATTAAAGTTATGACTTGTTATTTCTATTGCATGGTTGTTGATATTTGAAAGGTAATACTTAATGTATACATTGTCTTAATCAAGTGATTACAATCTGAGATTAGTGTTATGTAATGTCATACATGATTTGGGTATTCTAATGATTGAGATTGCTATATTATTTCCTCAACTTTCTTAATAGGCAGTCAAGCACAGAAGGATCTAGTGATGGGTGGTGAAGCTTGCATGTGGGGAGAATATGTTGATGGTACAAATTTAATTCAGAGACTATGGTATGAATAGTTATACTTTTGTGACACATTGTTTGTGTTTAGTGTATGTTTAAATGTATTGTAATTTGTCATATATTGAACTGGGAAGTGCCAGTATAGCTACTTGCTCACCGACTGAGTGATACTTTTCTTGAATGAGAGACAGAAAAACCATTAAATTAAAGAACTATGTATAAAAGTTATGTTTCTTTCTATAAAAGCAAAAGTGTGCCAACATTACTGAGGAGTGCATGCCAAATACTGACGACATAAGTGCAATTTTTTAGGCCTAATGCTGCTGCCATTGGAGAACGTCTATGGAGCTCAGCCGATACCACGGATTTCAATGCCGCTGCCCCTCGTCTTGTAGAACAAAGATGCAGAATGGTTAAGTAAGTTTTTGTTGTGACATATTAGAATTTTGGTATAGTCTTTCTTATCTACTAATTTGCATACCAATATACAGAATTATAAGAACAAGACCATATAAGGGAAACTATCAGACCTTCTGCACTACATTAGAGAATTTCGAAATGACTAATTCAATATATATATATATAATATATACACTTAATAACGTTATATATATATATATATATATATATATATATATATATATATATTACAATGTTTAGTCATTTATTTATTTATTTTTTAATTCCAGACGTGGTTTACAAGCAGAACCTGTTAGTGGTCCAGGATATTGCAAGTATGAATATTCACCATGAGTTTTTACTGGCAGTTTCAGATGTTCTGATACTAATTGGACATTATTTTGTGCAACAGACAACATGTTTTAAATTCATAAAAAAAATTCTACTTGTGTAAGATGTACTTCATTTTCTGTTCATCTATTCAGCTTATCATTGGAATTTCTTTCAAATGTGCAATAAATTTACATGTACTTTCGTTAAATGAACATTGTTAGAAAAGAGCATTTGTAATTTGTAATTATTTGGGAGTGAGGTTGGCACATCTGTGTTCATAACCGATTCCCAGAATCGCAGTAATTGCAGATTGATGGCAGATATTCTTAAATATTTCAAAATAAGTGAATTATTCATCGTTAACATGCTTAACTGTGTCTTACATTTTTACCATTATATAGTTTGCTTTATCTCACCCGTTTTTATATCACTACTTTGTAAATCAATTTGATGCAGTTTATAATTAAACAAATATTTTCACATTCATTTGTAAGTTGTACTTTTCGTTTTAAGAAGTTCATATTATTAGTATGTGAATATCAAAATTGGTCAAGTATGAGCCTGTATAATTCATTTACATCTGTGTAGTTTCTCAAATAAGGTATTGGTATGAGGAATATTTTAAAACGCAAGATTGCTAAAAAATGTCTGACTTTTTTCTACTTTAATTTTTAAAACATACGACATGGACAGCGGCAAGCAACATTTCCTTCTTAATAATCTTTGGAATTAACGTGATGCGATTTGTAAAATATAATCTGTATATATTGGTAATTAATATATCTTTGTTACTGAATAAAATTGGCAGTCTGCATAAATTGGAACACCCCTACATGATGCATTACTAGTAATTAATTATAATATTGCGCGATCGATGTAGCTGCTTGTTTAGAAATTTAAGGTAAGCAAGCATATTGCTAATCATTAATGGTCGTTTTTATGTATTCCCGAATGCCCTCCATGTCGGCTGGCCATTGTTAAACATTTCAAATATACACACATGTAGCTTTTTTAATATATCAGAAAAAATCTCGATTCCCTCTTTGTCTCTGTGAGAACGACATTTTCACATCGCAATAAATGCAGCCAGTATTTGATTATTTATTACCCCTTTAAATTTAAATGTCTTGAAAATACTAACCTTGGTGTTAAACTATTTTGGTGATTATTGTTTTCAGGTCGTTTATACCATATACCCCCAAAAGGACTATGTTTAAATTTATACTCTCATTTAGCCCAAACTAAAATATAAACATATATTTTCGTCATGACAAGTTTACGTCCGCAATGCAGTAGATCCCGCGAGATCTCGAACGAGTCACAGGTCATAATCCTGGTTCTAAGCAATTACAATTGTTGAAGAGCATTAGCTGTTTGGCAATAACAATGCATACTGAACGGTGTGATATCAAAGTAAGTCTTACATGAGAAAAGCTCATCACAAAATGTGTATTCACTGTAGCATATATGAAACTGCTAAATTGTAAACCCGTGTACTAAAATGTAAGAATGTTTCCGATAAGAGAAACAAAGTCGCAATAAACCATGAATAAGTAATAGACGGGAGCAAGACGAAATTGCCCACGCAGGACTATAGAACGCAGACACGCATTTGCGTGGATTCGGTTTCTTCTAATATCGACAATATTTACAACTGTCTTTACGACTGTTTGGCGGGTGTTATAATTGTGTCGCACTGTAAACGTTAAATGCGAGTATATATCATAGTCTTTGATTGATAACGCACAACAACCCTCGGGTTACATAATAACACATTTATATGAACTGCTGTTTGTGTATTTAGCTCCCGTGTGCAAAGCACACAATGGGAGTCTTTATAATTAGTGATTCGTGTGTGTATCTGTGCAGATATTTTGTTCCAACAATGTCTTGAAAATGCTTCAATCTATGTTGATGAAATTTGGCTCGGGGATAAAACATACTCTAATACAGATCTATTTTTAAAAATGTTAACACATGTTGCTGCTAAGTATATTTCTAACTAAAAATACAAATATTTTTTTTAATAATGTTATTTCAAGAAAAATTCAGTACGTATGTACAGATTTTGTTTTATGGCATATCTGTTCATTAGTATTTTTCACAAATTCTCAAGCTCAATTATTACCAAATTATAGACTACCCCCCCCCCCCGCCCGGAGATTAATAGCCACTTGAAACAATACATAATAATTCAATTGAATAAACTTCATATATATTATCACTTTGTGTCATAAGATGCAGTGTAATGTTGTTTCTAATAAAAATCATTGTGAAAAAAATAAGTAAGTACATAATTTAATTTATTCAATGAAAGGACCATGTTTGAAATATATTTTCCGTGTTTGTATTTTGTTCTTGTTGCACTTGTTTTCTTGTTGGTTTTGTATTCAACAGTACATTGCAGTATCTGCGATTTATCCTGTATAATTGTCAAAGCTGTTTGTTTGTACGTGATTTTAACCCCACATTGAAAACATTTAATCAGTTGATATATAGATGTTACAATCATGTTTTTCATGTTTAACAAGCAAAATCGTTTCCCTCCTTAAGAAAAATTAAAGAAAAACTCCACACCTAAAAGAGCCAACGTGTCTGAGTGACCAGCGTTTGCAACCAAACGGGATTGCACGAATATTACTTACAACCCGTCCATATACAGACAACGATTCCAAAATACAATCAGTTGTCAAAAAATGCATGAAAGGCAATGGTTTATGTAGGGCTTTGAGAGGAAGCCATCTTTTCCACCTCTTCCCCAACACACGAAGGAAAGAAAATCCACAAGAATCACAGCAATCTTCGATGATTGCAAATAAACAATAACAAATAACGTACTACGCACTTTATAATGTATTCTTTTCAAGGACGTAACAGGAGTGCACTGTGAACGTGTACAGCCAATTCAAAGAAGAAGATTTGTGTTTTTTTAAAAACCTTAATTTATCATGTCATCATTTTTCAATTGAATTACATTCTCTATAATGCAATTGTTACAATAAAATTGGCTATTCAATTCGAATACATCATTTATTTGATGATTTATAATATATGCTGATAAACTAAACGTGACATATTCTATGTTCACATATATATTCGAATAAATAATAAATGAATATAAAGATACAGTTACTTATTTGTAGATTATATGGCAGCGAAATCTCCTAGATTGCGTCTTTGCCTACAGTAGTCAAACTGTATTCACAATCGTGTTGATAAACGTTGTCTGAAGATCGGAATTGGGACAGTAGAACCTTGCTGTTGTTGTTTATGTGTCTACTGATGTGTATTGCCAGTTTTACAATATCAACTACAAGGCAGAGTACTTGATGTGCCTTGCGAGAAGGAAGAAATGTGATTTATACTTTGGAAGTAGAATAAGCCACCATGGAGATATGTGAGGATTTACTAAGCGTAAAGCTATTACCTTCACATTAGTAGAAGATATGTTAAAGCAAATCATGTTCATCACACAATGGATATGAGCTATCATTGGTGCAGTAGCATTGAATAAACAAATGTCAGTTGTATATGCTCCATGTATACTCAATCGCTGTAGATCTCTTTCGTTTTTAGTAAAAAGTGCAGCGTAGGAGGCGTTAGGCTTAATATCACCTTTGAGGTCAAGTATACCCCGCCAAGTCAAGTCAATAAAGAGGTTTTGTTATGTATTGTACTTTGATTATTCATAGAGGGCGCCTTCTCCATTTTATAAAGTTTAGTCACTACAAGCTGATTGATAAGTTTGACAATCCATTGGCATGAGATGCAATGGCAGAAAGTTGGTATCGTCTGCTTTTTATTTCAGGAATAGCGATACCTTCAATTCTATTCTTTGTTCGCACTTTATGCAGAAGAGGTTCAATGGTCAGCGTATACAGTATACAGAGGTCATAACCTGGTCAAATCCTCCGAATAAATGGAATCGGTGAAGTGACGGCCCAATTGCAAATCACGTCTCTTGGGTAAGGTGATGCTACTATATGTTTCATACAAATAGTATTGAACTTTCTTTCATAGTTGATAATTCTGTCCAGCAAATTTCAAAACTTATCTGCTCTAAATCATAAACACAGAAAATGAGTTGACCTATGTATTTTCCTCTGAAATGTGTCCTAAATTTAAACATGAAACCTTACTATCACCTTGTGTACACATATAAAGAAAATATATGTAAAGTATACCCATATATCCAATTGTAAATTCGTCTGCTTAAATAAAAATTCTTGCTTCTGAGTTTCCAGAAAAATACCCAGCCATAGGAGTTATACGACAGGGAGTTGGACAAACTTATGTATTTTAATAAATTATTAAATAACAAAATGTTATATAACTTTTAATGCATCTCATGAATAAATAAATGCCCACCCGCTTTACGGTTGTGCTCATGCCACAGTCCTGGCGAGTTTCAACCCTTGGGATATTTTACTATAATAGGGTGTGAATG